TCACGAGTATTACCCAGCTAGCTTGGGATCCGTTTTGCGCAAATCTCGTACGCTTTACGCGTCATTTGTTTTATTGGAAAGCGATTATACTTACGCTGCGCAATCGAACTTTGCACTGAAAACAACTTCCAAGCTTAGCATGGAAAAAACAACCCCTGGCATCAGGGGTTTCCCTCGTGTCTTGCGGGTCTAGGTATGGTCTTACAGTAAGACCACGACCACCTAAAAACACTATTAAAAACGCATGCTACCTCACGTACAGTGCACCACAGCATATAGGAACCACCAAGAAGCCTTCGTTTCCGGAGGGACGCGCTCTCCTGCGCCCTCTCTTCCGGTGAAGTAATTGTAAACAAAAAAGTGATTCGGGGCTTTTCTGTCAGAAGGCCGTGGGGAAGGTGGGGGGGGGACCGTTTTGTGTGCTACAACCGTGGGAAGAGTCTCGCTATTTCAGCAAGGAGGAGTGTGCAAACGATGAAACCCTCCTCAACTGGGTAGTCTAGGAGACGCGTACATTAGCGGTCGGATTTTTATTAATCATCAAAAAGGTCGTTTCCAGCGTCTGGGGGAGAAACGAATTAACCGGGGCTGCTCCGAGCCGCTCGGATATTTGACACCGGGCTGCTGGTGCGGGTGTGTATTTGTTTTTCTTCCCCCTGTTCTGACGGATGCATTTAGCTGGCTACTACGTCGTGTCATTATCTCAGTCATTTAGCACTTAAGGAAATAGTCTTTTCAACGTCCGCGGTTGAGAATAAACGCAAAGTCGTGGCTTCATGCGGTCTGCGCGTTTTAGTTATCTTCTGGAGGACATCACACAATGAGGAAAACCAAAATGATCCTTAATCTCAGTAATTGATCATTATCAACGATCAAGCATGGTTTGGATATTTGAGGATCAGAGGGTTATATTAAGACGGGCATAAGGTGAAACGGTAGTTATCCCACAGAAGCTGATAACTTTAAAGGAATCGTTCTCCTAATCTTAAATGGTTCCGGTCCCCCCCCCACCAAAAAAAGAAAAGAAAACCAAGTTCCTCATATCACAATGCGTGCTCACCCCACGGGAGAGTTGCGTTGATCTTCCCAGTCAGCCTTCTTCAGCAAGCGGGTATGACTACGATTACTTACGACTGTCGTAGTTGCTTGATCCCTCACTCGGGACGGGGGTAAAATCCAATTAACGGCAATACATTTGGGGGCCGGAAATGTAAAGGCGCTTGAAAGCGGGCCACGCAGAGTTCCGTCCCGAAACGGCGTCGTTTCGCGAACAGAGAAGGACCCAGAAGGTGCGGTTCCGAAGCAGCCAGCGCCGTGAAACTGGACCTCTCGAGTGCGGATTAGCGGTGTGAACCGCCGAACCGGACCTCGGATGCGCGTTCTGGTCGAAGAACGGTCCTGAACCTGAAACAGCCCGGAACGCGAAGTTCAGAAGTATCAAAAGAGACCTTTGCCCATAAAATAAAGGACTATACTTCACACTTTAAGGCTGCGCTTCGATTCGATTCGATTCGATTCTTCATCGGTATCGTTGTTCTGAAATAGCAGCGTGCACCACAATCGCAGATCGAGTGAGAACACGACTGTTCTCTGGATTGGAGGGCTGCCTTCGTTTCCGGCTTTTATTCCATCTCGGCACTTAACGACTTAATTGAATCCCGTTTCGTGCACATGCAGTCCAATCACCGGTGTTCTACACACACCTTTGCTGGTTTCGCAGCGAAACGCGATCGCATACGCCTCCAATCGCAGCGGGTCTAACTTCCTAATTGAAACAGACCTTGTGAGGGAATCACTTCACACCAGAGTCACGGTCTTAACCGCTTCTGTGCTACTTTCTAGTGAAGTCAATTGGGGGGGGGAGGGTAAAGGCTGGGTAGCTTGTTCCACACTCCCACCCCCCTTTGCGTAAAGAAGCGCCTCTTGTATTTGGTTTGAAATGCTCTTCCCTGTAGTTTCCTCTTGTGCCCTCTGGTTCGTGTCTCACTGTTGATTCTCAATGACTTTGTCGGTTCCTTTGAGGATTTTAAATACTTGTATCCGATCCCCTTGTAATTTCCTCTGCTCATGACTCAGCTGCTTCAGCCTGTCAGTGTGGGACACCCCCCTCACACTAAAGAGACTCAGTTCCTCCAGCCTGTCAGTGTGGGACACTCCCTTCAGACTAAAGAGACTCAGTTCCTCCAGCCTGTCAGTGTGAGACACTCCCTTCACACTAAAGAGACTCAGTTCCTCCAGCCTGTCAGTGTGGGACAATCCCTTCACACTAAAGAGACTCAGTTCCTCCAGCCTGTCAGTGTGGGAATGTACCTTCACACTAAAGAGACTCAGTTCCTCCAGCCTGTCAGTGTGGGACACTGCCTTCAGACTAAAAAGACTCAGCTCCTTCAACCTGTCACAGTAGGACACTTCCTTAAGCTCTTGAATTAATCTGATGGTTAAAACCATTTGATGTGTGTGCCCACAGCTTTTCAATTCTGAGTCCTGTATACTTCCTCACAGTTTGCCATCATCAGAGCTGAGTTTCATACCTGAGGTTTAGGTGTGAGTTAAACCCCACGTTGGATATACAATCGAAGCCTTTAACAGCTGAGCCAGCACATGTGCACTAACACAAAATCTTTGTTCTAGTCAGGACTCGGATGATGTCAGCCCCCTAAACTTCATCCTGCAGTTTTTACCTGTTGTGGATTTATTTGAGGGTGATGCGGTGGCACAGTAGTTAGCAGTACTGTCTCATAGCACGGTCAGGGTTCAGTTCCTGGGGTGCTGTCTGTGTGGAGTTTGCATGTTCTCTCATGTTTGCATGGGCTTCTTTCCATAGTGCAAAGGCATGATTGTAGCTTAATTGGCTTCTGGGAAAATTGGCCCTGGTGTGAGTGCCTGCTGCCTGCTGGGATAGGCTCTGGCTCCCCCTTGATTCTGGACTGGAAGAAGCAGTTCAGAAAATGGATGAATGCACTTCTTCAGCTTTGACACTTTTCTCTTTTCAACAGGAAATATGGAGACGAAACCTGGTATTCAAGTTAAAGAGGAAGTTCAGATTAAAGAGGAAGTTCAAATAAAAGAAGAAAATACTGACCAGTACCCTGACCAGTTGATAGAGAATATCGCTGAAGTTGAATCTGTCATCATAAAAGAAGAGGTGAGTAATCAAGTGTAATAGATAGATAGATAATTCTTTCCCTTAGGGAAATGTGATCAACGTGTGATCAAAAGGCTGGTGCAGAAGGGTTAAATGGTTCAAGTGCAAGAACTCGAGACTAAAGCATTCCCAGAGAACTAGGACATACGTGTCCCATATTCTCACATACCGCAGCTTGTTCCACACTCCCATAACCCCACAGTCCCTCCAGTCAGACCAGGAGGCCCTTCTTTACACAAAGGGTGGTGGGAGCGTGGACCAAGCAACCCCCCCCGCCATGTGACTGAAGCTGAGACGGTGGCTTCTTTCAGCAGACGGCCGGACGAGATCCCGGGACCTGCTAACGGCAGGAAGGGCCGGACGGGCCCGTCTCCTCTCGCTCTGAACCGTTCATGAGGCGGGAGGAATTCAGGAAGGAGGGAGAGTGGGTCTGTCAGCTAGATAAGGAGGGGTGGTGAAGTGGGAGCTGAGGAACAGGTAGAGTAGGAGGAAGCAGCCGGGTCTCCCCTCCCTGATCCCCGCGCTGCTGTGTTCCAGCCCGACGACAGCGAGGAGGACAGCCCTGAGTCGCTGCTGCTCGTCGGAGACGAGACCTCCGGCCTGCACCAAGCGCTGCTCGCCAGCAGGAAAAGTATGTAACGTTTTTTTTTTCCCCCCAAAGATTTTGTTCACATGACTGCGTTTCAGAGAAACCCAGAAGACCCTGACAGCACGGGTCTCCACCTCTGGTCCTTAAGAGCCCCCAGTTCAGCCGGACTTGTAGCTCACTGTGAAATCACTCGACCCGTTCAGCTTGTTTTGGTTCTGCAAGGATCAAACTGAATCAAACTCTCATAAATAAAAGTGTCAACATTTCACTTCCTACATTTAAACTCCTCAACGTGCTTAAAAACACACAAGCTTCGCTGCACCTTCAAACATCTTACTTCTGTATTGGCATCAATTTACGATCCCTGGGAATGCCAAGGTATTTCAGATTCATTTAGGATTTCAAAATCGGTTCCGTGAATAGCCACAGGAATAGAACATTTCTTTCAAAAATCAGTTGTTTTAGTTGTGCTTAAAAACCAGCGCTGTCTCCTGATGTCAATGATGAAAAAAGATTCATCCCCTGTCTGTAATTGTATTCGTCATCATTCAGACGTCCAGTCAGGGCTCCATCATCCACATACTTGGTAATTGCACAGATGTCAGAGCGGCGTACACGATCATCAGTGTACAGTGTGAAAAGCAGTGGGGACAGCACGCACCCTTGGGGTACCCCTGTGCTGGTGCTGATGGTGAGAGACGTCCCCGAGCTCACTCGCACAGACTGTTCCCAATGAGTAAGAGAATT